ATTCAATACTAGTAACATATGACCGTCATCTGGATATTACAATCCCCTGTATCACAATTGATAGTGTGATGAGCGAAGAATTACATCAAATATACGACAAAGAGCAAATAAGACGAGAGTTTTTTTTAACTTTTCCCCATGAAAACTGTGACTTTATTATTTTTCTCGTAGCGTTAAACCATATTCAGTGTGTCTTCTATGCTTTTTTATTTTAATCCTTACTTTTGCAGCCATTTTGAATTGGAAAATATGCCAAACACATGCAAATAAGGTACACAGTTCATAAAGTAGTTCGGGTATCCCAAGACGAAACTGACACAAATCAATTAAAACAAAAGGCAAAATGACAGTGCAAACAACTTAAACAATGGTGGTCCGTCATTCCCTGGTGAAATTTCTGGAATTAAAAGGACACATCTTTGTGAGATACTGTTAGACAATTAAAACCGTTTATGCAAATCGGAAAGTATCAGTGCCTTTTTGTCCAAATGCTCCTTTTCTCGTCTCCGTTGTTATTTTAATAGTATATTTTACTATGTTTGAATTCTGATTCAAATAAATCGCAATTTAATTGTATAAGCTTTCGATTGTCGACAATTTCTAAATAAACATTCCATGACTCATCCTTACAGTGAGCACCCAGTGTGAACATTGTTCTTTTACACAATGGGTTACCCTCTATTTTTACATAACCGCACTTTTATGGTGCGCAGTTTTCAAGACCAGCATAGAACCATGAACCTGTTATTTTAGCTTATGGAACAACATACATTAAACCACTTTATGTCTATTCTTTTGTGACGTCACGTCATTATTATTTCCTATTCTACACTGTTCTTCACAACTGTATGTGTTTACAGTGCGCGTGTGGACTGTCGAAGGCAGTCGAACAACGTCTTAAAACATTATTGTGATGTAAATTAGAGAGAGAGAGAGTGAACCTTGAGGATAAAGCATCGGTACGTTGGCACCTTTAGTAACTCACTGTTTATTCTTCAACCGAGTGGATAGCAGCAATAAGACCTGCCGCCTATTCACGTCGGTCTTTTCCCAGCCACCAGGTATGAATTAGGAAGTAGTCATAGATATACGGAACTGATATATCAAATTGTATTCGCTATCTGCACCATTCACGAGTAAGACGTAAAAAACAATGACTGAGTACGGCTACAGGGATCACAACAATGGAGACGTTAAGATGGACATGTTTGGTCGACACACGGAGGACATTTCAACGTCCGTGGAGACGCCAAAAAAAAGCTACCTGGCAGAAAGTGAGAACAGCCCGCCGGGAGATGGAAATAGTAAAATTGGAGAGCTGGGAAAGAACTTGATGGAAACGACCACATGCCATGGCATTGGACGGATTTATGGTGGGACTAACTGTTACCGTAAATCCTTCTGGACATTGGTATTTATGGTGGCAACATCTATGTTTCTTTGGCAGTTTAGCGAACTTCTTATCAACTATTATGATCGAGACGTAACTGTCAGTCTGGATATTAAATTTGACAGGAATCTCAATTTTCCAGCAGTGACAATCTGTAATTTGAATCCAATTAAACTCAGTATTATGGCCATGGATGAAAATCTCCGGGAAATGTTTGGATTCGAGGCTGAGTATGAACCTACTTTGGCGCCGGCACCCGGTCCACCTGGAACGGGCCCTCCTCTGGGTACAATGGCGCCAACACCGTCTTCACGAAAGCGACGACATCTACAAAGAGAGAAACGGGTACGTACTAAAAGCTTTCGATTGTTGTAATCTTGTACATGTTTCTTTTCTCTCCTTCTAGTTGCATGCTATAAAGTATCAATTATTCGTAATATAAACTCAATAATTTCTGTTTTTTGATAAACAATATCTTTCTCAACAATGATGTATCTTATTTAATTTCAAATTGTGGTTTTGTAATTTAATAATTCAAGATTATTAATAATAATAATAATAATAATAATAATAATAATGAGCATCACTAAGAGTGTGGACGTTGGCCATATCCAGATTGTAACTCTGTTTTTGTTTCCATGGCAAGTGGTGTATTTCTTTGCGAAAAGTAATATAATTATAGGTTGTTCATGTGTATTTACCAAGTTATTAATCGGATCTGAGAAAAAAAAATGGTTTTATTGCAATCATAGAAAGGGTCGCTATATTTACACACACATTAAATTCATCTTTTTTCATTTATTAATGATGGCAATCAATAAAGCAATTACAATGCTGTGTTTCCTTGATCACTTTATGGATTACAAACTTTGTCACCCAGCTTAATTTAAACGTGATAACGGTGAAAGTGAAAACAACTTTGAGCTTTAGGGGATCACAAACAATATCAACATTTTAAGTGATTTATAATATGCGAGTTCATCAAAAGTTCACAGTTAATTGGAAGCATTTATGGAAGCTTTAATACGTCAAAAAAAACAAGATGCTATCCCCGAGGGCGGGGTGCAATACATAGAACTTAAGTAGCGGTCTTATTTCCGGTCAATATATAAATATCGGTAATATTTTTCCGATTTGGTATACTTATGGGTCCGTATATGAGCGAATTCCACCTCAGATCCCGGCCTCCGATCCATAAGTAACTGTTTTATTTAGAATAAACAGTGATGACAGAAATGGTATCTTGGTATAAATATGGGTATAGATTTTGCCACTATCCAGGTATAAAAATGGTCTCACTTTTGAGCACTCAGGGGCACCTTCCTACCCAGCTATGTACTAGTATCAACTGCCCCCGGATGCTATCCAATTGGTGTGTCTGTTAGGTGTTAGGATGGGTTCTCATTGATTCACGTACAGTACTGAAAACTACCTGTTGCCAGTCATGAAGCTACATAGAAGCACATACGAGGCTATCGATAGGATAAAAGTGACAGGTAAAACCATTCGAGTTGTGAACGCTACCTTGGTAATAGGATTTCAATTTCACCACAAGCGCTGATGGAGGGAAATTAACGATCCGTTTCGCATACAACATAGTGGGTAAAGCAATACCTTTTCATCGTTTTCTCTAACGATTGAAACGGTGGAAACCCTTGGGTAAATATGTTAGGGTCCAATATATCAACCACGCATTCAACCAAACACCTTACACATTGTGGATGAATTATGTAAACATCATGGGAAATGCAAATACAATATTATTCGTCATACAGGTGTCAACACAATATTAAATTTGCAGAATGTCATATTTCTCCAGTTTTCAAATGGGCATCCATTTAATCGGACACCTTCATTTTCTGTTTTTCTGTCGCTCTCGTAGAAATATTGAAAAAAAGTGACAGTAATTGAAATAATATTTACAATCGAATCTGGATGGGTTTTTAGGATAATAGTGCGACGTTAGTTTACAAAGGTCAAACAATTGTGTGCTGATTGTTGCCCGGGCAACTGGACCTTCTTCGAACTGTGTGATCAACTGCACACACAATAAAGTGGAATTGCTAAATTACATTAATTGCCACCGGATATTAGCGAACGACATGTCAGGTTGTGAACAGACCGCTTTTCAGGACACATTTAATACACACTGAAATACAATGGATTCTAAATTACATATATTGATGATGTCAAATCCTTTTCAAAATAGGACACCTAACTCTGAGTGATGGATTACTTTCTACATTTCCAAATAAATCTGAACGTGACTCATATCCGTTAATTAAAAAAGCTATCTTACTGAAACATGAATTATTGTTTTTTAAGGTCTTTGTAGTTTTTATTCTCTTCATCATCTTTATTTACATCTAGCGTGTCAGTCCCGCCAACTTTCCTTGAGTTTATTTATATTATGACGCAGATCAAATGGCGCGCACAAGTCTGTAATATTTGTTCCTAGTGAAAACAAATTATTAAACACATTTCATTTGCATATTCGGATTTAACAAAGGCTTACTCTTCTTAATCAATGCATAATGATATTACAAAGAAATGGAATTTTAAATTAAAATTGAATTCTACAGCCTAGACTACGGTATAAAAAGACAAAATAAAGGTTCATATTAAATCGATCGAAAATATCTGGAGAGTCAAATTAGAGAGATATCATTTTTTTATCTAATATATAATGCAGTAAACTGATATTTTTAAGGGCGAAGGGTAGCACTTCTCATGAAATAATATTATTTGTGTACAGACAAAGCCCGTATTACGTCCAAGGAACTTCGTAGAAACCCTAACCAATAATCAGCTACAAAGAGCCATTTTTGGACTCAATTGACCCATCCGTGTAACCGTGTGAGATTGCGTATGGTGAACACTCTCCAATTTGGTAAACCAAAACATAGCCCGTTAAGTGACACATTGGTGTTGTGATAACTGTTTGAAATATGATGCCTGTACTTTCATACATTCACCAAATGAGTTGTTTTTCAAAGTCGCATTTATAGATATAAGATATAGGGGGACAGGGGGAGATAGCGTGTATAGGTTACGGGAAATAAATTTTTTTACAGGAAATGAAATGAAAGTTCCATTTACAGTAAAAAATACGTGTTTACACTTTGCAGATAAAGCAAATTCCTAATTACATTTTACATTTTCATAATATTTCTGATAATTTGTGTTCAAGAATCAAAATAGATAATTGCGTACGAATTACGACATTTAATTTGAAAAATTATAATACAAAATAATAATACCTTTGTACAAATTACGGACGAATAATATAGTTGATTTTATTTTACACCTTGCCCATGTCTACAAATTCACGTTTTTTTTTATTTTATTTATATTATATCATCACGAAAATAAAAACAATTGATTGCAGCTTACGAAAACACCCCTTGCCGACCCTCATATAAGGACACAAGTTTCCAACAGTCAGTGAACGAGCAATGGTATTAGAGGCTCATCAACATATGTTTCTCCCCAATGTATAGCAAATTTAATCAAAATACGTTCTGAAATTTTGCACGGAAATGACCCCAAAACTAATGTTGTCTGCGCATTATCGGGAGATAAAGAGTACTAAATTTCCACACACGGGAGCTAAAAACTAGGCAGATAGAAGAAAAATGTGATTGAAAGAACTGGAAGTAGTCTCCTCGAAATTGTGGAATATCTCAAAAAATGAATGACAATCTGAAAGAGGTTTAGTAATTTGATAACGCGCAGACTGACAATAATAAAATATTATTAAAAGAAGAAGAACTAAGAATGAATTTCAATGATAACCAAAAATCAATAAAGCAATAAATGCTTTGCATAATAATAAAGCCTCGGCAGAAAATGTGTAATGCAATATTGAAACATGGACATCTCATAAACGCCATCTAAAAGATATTTGTGTTTATGGCAGGCGTAGCTTTATTGTATACACGTTAAAATCACGAAAGATGGACAGATTATAACACAAAAACAAAAATATCGACTAGCTTTTGTTTTTTTTAAATTTAGGCGGACGATGAGCTCCAAAACTGGGATACAAATCCTCCAGACTATGATGCCGTGGACACCAAGATGGAGACTGCTTTCTCTGTGTATGATTACATGGGTGCAATTGAGTATGAACAGAGAATGAGGTTTGGTCACGGTCTTAAAACCTTTCTTGTAGATTGTACTTGGAAAGGCTACCCATGTGGGCCAGGGTGAGTCAATACCATTATTTATTCGTTTCTATACAATGCCCGTATGAAAAGTCTCGTCAAATAAATAAAGAAGAAATACTAATTTATTTACATGTATTTAGAGTGAGTCAGATATCTCGCACTTGATATTTAATGAACGGAAACACACCTAATCGTGTCCAATAAACAATTGGACGAATTTGTCAAAATGTTGGCGATCTTAGAAGGGGTGGGGAGCTGTTGTCACGGATTTTGAAAGAGTTATGTACATACACTGAAAGTTTATATTGCGTTTACGGGTTTAGTGATTTTAATAGAGCAACACATTTTTCGTTAGATGAATAGACTCCGAAACGGCGAGGAATCCAGTCAGCTCTATAATTCTGATACAATGGACAAAATAGAATAAAATAAAATTCATCCCCAACCACCGATATTCCTATACTTTGACAATAAAACTCAACTCAAACAAATTCTCAGCCGGAGAGGAATTATTGGATTACTATGCCTTCCTGTCTCCACTGCCAGTTTATGAATTGAACACCGAAGTTTTGCCAAAACAAATTTAAACTTCAAGGTCATATTACATGATAAATACAATTCTGGCTCTAACAAACATTTGAAGTTAACATAACAACACAATCTACCTGATTGACCAATCGCTGACCACCATTCTTGACGATAACAATTAAATAACTTTTCGTGAAAACCTAAGAAAACTTTGCTGTCTCCAACTTGTTGTTCAATCTATACAATTCCAAATCCGTATCGATACAAGAACTCTCTGATCTTTGTTGCCCACTTAACCCTCCCTGCCGAGTCCAGCCTTTTAATCATTTTATAACAGGCTCTGGGGTACCGGTACATAACATTTTTAAAAGTTTTAACTAGAATGAAATGAAACGTTTCATGTAAGTACAAAAATAGGTAATCTCCCGCATTCGCCTAAAAGCTCTTCAGTATTTACATTAGAGCTAACCCCTAATAAAAATCTACAAAAAATAAATTGCATCCTCTCCACAATTATGGAATACTCATAACCCCATATTTCGGTCCCATAACAAATTACCAGTAGGTAAGATCTTAACAATTGCCAACCACGTACTTTTTGACATGAGCATGTTTCTTCTATGTTATACAACATTTCGTGGTATTTACGAGGATATCTATGACTATTTATATTGACTAGCTTGGTCCAGTATTTCACACAACGTCTGCTGGAATACACAACAATTTAGTGTTTCAGCATTCACCTGTAATTTGGTGATCTTTTATTTATCTAGGGTATTTTGAGTTACCGATATTTTTTGTAATTCACATAAGAGGAGATAAAAGAACAATTATCTATAACTGTTCATTGACACTGGAATATACAGATGTATTGATATATTCATAATGAGGAACCATCTAAAACAACTGTACGATATCAACAAGTGTATTTGGTCCATAACAGATGGAGATTTATCATTTTCATTTCTATTTTTAATCTTTCGATGAGAGGTGAGACTTTTTGTTTCCCTTATCGTGAAATGTTAAACCATATGATTCGCGTACAGAAAGGTGTCTCCCTAGTTTACTTGCTGGTTTGCAAAGTGCAATGCTTGTATAAACTTTTTTCAAAACATTTTGAAAAGTTTCCTTCTTCTCCTAAAAACAACAATACACTGATTGTTTCCAGTATAGTATTGTTCCAGTGTTGTCTTTACTACTTATTGTTCCGGGCATTGTGAAAACTACTCGTATATTCATTGTTTAGTATTATTTCGGCGAACTCTACCTGACCTAAATACAATAACCACGATATATATAGTATATATTGTACTTGTATTCGAGTATAGAGACGGGCTTATCAGCACGGAAACGATTAGACATACACATGGTCCTGCATAACATGTTTGTGTTTATGAACAAAAATATTCAAATATTCACGTGATCTCACTTTTACCTTCGTTTGTAAGTATGTACATATTGCAAAGCATTGTTGTGACGTCACAAAAGTAGTACGCCGCCAGAAACGCGTGTCATTATATATTGCCTGGACAATATATCAAGTAACTGATATTGCCGAGATGGTTGATCAGAAAAAAATCATTCGTGACATTTAAATAACTATTATTTGGTTCAAAATAAACAGAGTCTATAAAGTTAAAGCGCGGTGGTCGTCGCGCATGTAAACAAACAATGTATTTTACACGTGTTGTATACGTCGCCATGAGTCCCATACCGAACAGGACGCGGCACGGCGACTGCCGCCGTTAAAATTGTTCATTCGAATTCTAGTCATAATGTTTTCTTTTTGCTCTCTCCAGTAATTTCACTAAGTTCTACAATTACATGTACGGCAATTGTTTCACGTTCAATTCTGGCGAAGACGGCACCACTCAAGCGACGAACAATCCAGGACCCCTACACGGTAATATTGTTTAATATTCTCAATCTGGCTTGATCTAATTGCTATTCAGACATTAAGTGTAGATTCAACTCGTGTATAGTCTCAATATATATTGTCCAACATATGAGATAGTCGATCCTCAGAATTACCACTATGAAATTCTGGTTTAGGGGAAGATTGGCCGTTGGTGGCAGCAAACACAACCAACAAACTTTCAAATCAGTTCATAGATACTGTATTGTTACTAGACACATTCACCCTTCAGCCGTGCAGACAATACACCTTACCATAAGGGACTTAATTAAAATTACAGAACTTTACAACTTTACAGAAGGGTGGTCTTTATATGGAGGTTGCATTATTTTTTTTATGGACCGCGAAGTCATTTATTTGACTTAATATTTGTCGAAAAAATAACGAGATGACACTGTGATGATCAAAATAAGTTGGACTCTAAGAAATTAAACAAAAATATGAACAGAATGCTAATTATTATTTTCGTTTCTGGACATAAGCGAATCTGCAAACATATTTCTGGTGGTCACTCCAGACTGACCGGTGTTTTTTTTTATACAGACTACTCATACGTTATGTCTCGGGACAGTCTTAATGTGATCCCTGCAGGTGGATTAAAAGAATCACTTAAATGTCATTTAGAATTTTAAGTTCTGTAAAAGATGAGTAAATTTAGACCAATTTAGATATTGAACTTGGTCGTGGCAAATTAATTATTCAGAGACAGAAAATGCATGGATGACGTCATATATATATATATATATATAT